TTCTGTTTTCAACATACCTTAATAACAATCATTAGCTTATCGCTGCAAAAAATAATAGATTTTGTATGCTTATTAACTGCCACGAGGGAAAAGCTTGGCTATTTTGTGATAAATGAGTACGCTGTGAAATCCTTTGTGTAGGTAACACGTGCAGGAAAAGCAATGCCTCCTACTAACATGGGTATGAAATAAAATACCTTTCAAAAAATAGGATCAGAGTCCAATCATTCGACCTTAATTATATCTATCTTGATTGCTGCAAAACAACAAAATAAATACAGGCAAAAATACTAAAAGCTTGTACAGTGTCATGATGCATCAATGTTTTTTTTTTTTTTTTAATTTGATACTTTCCAGCAAGGGATCAATTAATCAACGTTTTCATCAAATATCCACCCATTTTCACATAAGATTCAATAAGAAAAATTGTTGAATTTTGGGTTAACATTGCAAGAAAGCTTTGATAAATGGACCCTCAAGTCTTCCGGTCTACTCTGCTTGTATTTTACCCATCCGCCCAAAACACATCACATCAAAGTTTTCCTATCTGCTGATGTTGGTAAACCAGTTAGACCAACTAGAACAGTCCCCATCAACCTATTTAAATGCATACCCTTCCAAGCCTGCTCTACCTCCTCCTATTGCAGTCTTGCAATGACATCATACTGATATGATATTAAATAATCTGTATCTGCTTATCAGACAACCAAGGTAATATTCTAACCTATTCACAGGGTCAAGATAGTGAGCTATAAATATTTTAGCTTTAACGGAATATTTTATATTCCAAATTAATAAACCCATATTTTATATACAGTGCTGCATATGCGGTATAAAGTTTTTTTTTTTGGAATTTGCATTATAATGCACAGGAAATATTTAATACTTCAGAGATAACTACATATTGCCAAGGTTCATTAGTAACATAAGGCAGAAATACAAAAAACACACCTAAATGGTATTATATTGTAAAACGCTGTGCAAACTGTCGGCACTATAAAAATCCTATAATAATAATACTGTATTACTGCTGTTGGAAAACCCTGCTGTATTAAAAAAAAATGCTAATTTACAGAAAAAAAAAAAAAAAAAACTATAAAACATAAAAGACATCTAACATCTCTTTATGGAAAGGTTCATACTAGTAAGTAACTACTGCGAACATGTGATCCCACCTTACTATCATAGCGATCATTTTTATTTTTTTTTGCACTCTGTACACAAGTCAATGTATAACATCTGTGCTTTTGTACTTTTAAAATGATTTTTGCATCGTTACTTTAGCTATAAGCACCGTTTTGAGATGGGGGAAACTAATTCCAAAATAGATACATAGTCATGTAATATAATAGATATAATAGAATTAATATTGACATGTCTTATGATCCACTTAACATAAAATATGCAATATACAAATATAACAATATTGAAATATAAAAACAAAAAATACACCTATATACCAAGCAAAAAAAAAAACAAACAAACAAAAAAAAAAAAGCACCCCAAGGCAGCCACACCAAAACATCCTCCTGTGTGAAGTCTAAACAGTACTGGTGGAACAGCGAGTTCCTTTCAAAAAATCAATATTGATATATAAACACATCTATATATATACTGATATATTAAAACACATCTAAAAATATGCAAAAGCACAAACAAAAAGAAATCAGCCATAACAAACATCCTCCTATGTCAGGGCTTAGCAGCCATGTAGGACCCCCCAGGATGTCTGATCCTGCCCTTCCTATCTAGGTAAAGCTGACACACCTCCCCTTCACAGACATCTGATGGAAGATCATGTACCTGGATTCTGGGGTCCACCTCTTCTTCCTCCTCCTGGGGTTGCACATTCTCCTGACCCTTGTTTCTTATCCCCATTGTTTCCATTATGCAGCAGACATATGTGATGGTTGCTGCAGTCTGTGCTGATGACTGTGCTGAGACACAAAGGCAGCAATGTGTGCAATCACAGCCCCCCTGTGCAGCTCTGCATGTCAGCCTCCTGCTGGCCCCCTCCAGCCAGCCTCTGTGACAGTGTGCAGGTAGTAGACTGGCAGCAATTCTCCTGGAAATGAATGTCAGCACAGAGGAACTGAACTGAGTCTCCGCCTTCTATTGCTGTCACTGGAAGGAGAGAGGAAGCATAGCTTCACTATCCCACAGCTGATTATTATGTGGGTGAGGTTATTGCAGCAGAGGAGAGCCTACATCACTCTGATGACTGATAGCATGCATTTTGGGAGGCTTGGAATACAAGGAGGGGGGAGGGGGGTCTGGCACAGATTTACATTACACAGATCATATGAACCCAAAAGGGTCTTTTATCCCTGATTACATTTAACAGTATGAAAGAGGCAGACTGCTATTGACAGAGGTTTGTTTTTTGTTTAATTTCTGAAAATGCTAGTTGCTTGGTTGGCATGCTGACTGTATTGTTCTGAGTCAGTGGAAGCATGCACATTGTACTTTCCTGGTATACATGGGGGTGACACCAAGCCAGGGTACTAGGTGTCATCCTAGACTCCAATCTGGCCTTCCAGCCCCAGGTCCAATCGCTGACAAACTCATGTAGACTTCACCTCCCCAACATCTCCAAGATATGACTGTTCCTAACCTTGGAAACCACTAAACTACTCATTCACTCCTTTATTATATCATGACCAGGGGCGGACTGACCATTTGGAAACTCGGGCACTGCCCAAGGGCCCTGGGGTCATTAGGGGGCTCCATGAAATGCCCCTGGTACCTTTTTCATAGGCTTTTTTGAGTTTGAGCAAGGATGCAGGGGCCCCATGATTCCCTATTGCCTGGGGGCCCCATGAGTTGTCAGTCCGCCCCTGATCATGACTTGACTATTGTAACTCCCTCCTCATCGGCTTACCTCACCACAGGCTATCCCCCCTCCAGTCTATCATGAACGCTGCTGCCAGACTCATCCACCTTCCCAACCACTCCATATCTGCCAATCCCTCCACTGGCTTCCAATTGCCCAACGCATTAAATTCACAACGCTAACACTGACGTAAAAAGCTGTTCATAATACTGCCCCAAACTACATCACCGATCTTGTCTTTAAATATCACCCAAAATGTACTCTTCACTCCTCACAAGACCTCCTACTCTCTAGCTCCCTGGTCTCCTCCTCCCATGCTAGCCTCCAGGGCTTCCCCCATCTTCTGGAACTCCCTACCCCAATCCATCAGACTATCACCTACTCTGCTCACCTTTAGGTGCACTCTGAAAACCTATCTCTTCAGGGAAGCCTACCCCGCCCTCAGCTAATTACTGATCTCCTCCACTCTTCCTACCACTCCATCCCCCACAGCTATTTCCTCCTCTACCACTATCCCCTCCCTCCTAGATTGTAAGCTCAAAGGAGCAGGGTCCTCGAACCCCTCGTGTATTGAATCGTATTGTTACTGTACTGTCTCGTGTACTGTCTCCCCCCATAATGTAAAGCACTGAGCAAACTGTCTGCGCTATATAAATCCTGTATAATAATATTAATAATAAATATTAGGTTAGTGGTTCAGAAAGCACAGAATGTAAAAGCCAGCCAGCTAGCATTTTCAGGCAGAGGTTGGCAATGAAAGGGTCTGTAGTTGTCTAATAACAGCTGGGGTTACTCCCACCTGTCCCCAAACACAAAAATTCACAGGACTATGCTGGGGAAGGGGTTAGGCTTTGTTCACACTTATGCAGGTTGTGTTTGATGCATTTTTTCTGTCCGTTTTGATATTTTTTTCATGTGTTTTTGACATGTTTTTAATGCGTTGTGTTTTTTTTGCGATGTGCTTAAAGTGGAGCTCCACCCAAAAGGGGAAGTTCAGTTTTAAGGACTTGTTCCCTCCCCATTAAGGACTGGCACCTTTGGGGAGCAGGTAACCGATCTTGACAGGTACCTGCTCCCAGTGGCGTCACTAGGGGGGTGCAGGCCGCACCGGGTAACACTATCACAGGGGGTGTGGACAAACACACCCCAACCCCTAAGTGCACGTTTTTCCGTGTGTGTGTGTTCTTGCACTTGCACTTTTTTGCGGACACTTACGGGTTTTTACGTTATAGTTGCACGTTTGCGGACTTAAAAAAAAAAAAAAAAAAAAAAAAAACACTATCACAGGGGGTGACACCAAAATGAAAAGAAGAGCTGTCAGTGGCTGTCATCCATTCCAGTGGTGTCCCCCCGACCTCTCCCCAGGAACCGAGGCTCCTCAACTCCCTCCTGCAGCCCCAGGAACAGCCGTGCCATGCGGGGGGGGGGAAGGAGATGTAGGGTCCCGGCAGGGGGGGGGAGGGGTATGTCTGATCCCCAGGATCACAGCGGCTGCTGCAGGCCATTCACACCCAGCCTGTCCCCCGCTACAGGGGCGGACTGACAAAGACTGGGGGGGCCCCCGGGCAATAGGGGATCATGGGGCCCCTGTGTCCTTGCCCAAACTCAAAAAAGCCTATGAAAAAGGTACCAGGGGCATCTCATGGGGCCCCCTACTGGCCCCGGGCCCTCGGGCAGTGCCCGAGTTTCCAAATGGTCAGTCCGCCCCTGGTCCCCCAAATTTACACCGGAGTGAAGCCCGCCCCTGCCCTTATGATTGGACGGCTCCCGTATTCTACATGTCAGTCCATGAATAGATGAATGACCCCCGCCCAGGGGAGCCCGTCTTTAAGGACTTGTCTGCATCACATATCACTGGCTGTATCCTGCACAGGACATCCTTCTGGTCCTGCACCCAGAGTCCCGGGCGGGCGCGGGGCAGGCCGACACCGGGTAACACTATCACAGGGGTGACACCAAACCTAGTGATGCCTCTGCCATGCTCCCACCGCCTAGGCAACTGTCCTGTAAAAAGCATTCCAATACAAATTGCTTTTCAGAGGGGCTGCAAGAGTTGCCACTGGTATAAACATGTCCTTAAAAGTGGTAGTAAACACCCCATTTGCTCACTTGTACTGCAGGCCATACAGGAAAGCTTATCACATAGCCAGGGGCGGACTGACAACTCATGGGGCCCCCGGGCAATAGGGGATCATGGGGCCCCTGTGTCCTTGCCCAAACTCAAAAAAGCCTATGAAAAAGGTACCAGGGGCATCTCATGGGGCCCCCTACTGACCCCGGGTCCTCGGGCAGTGCCCGAGTTTCCAAATGGTCAGTCTGCCCCTGAACATAGCTTACCTGTAGATCCAAGGAATATCTCATAAACGTGCACCATTTAGAAGATATCAGTGTCCCTGCAGCTGGTGACATCACCAGCGCATGCGTTCAATCCAATCAAGTGGCCAGAGCTCCCAAACATGGAAGGAAGACCTGGTAAAAATGAAAGCCCTGTCAGCATTGACAGCACGTTGCTGGAGGGCTTCGTAACTAAGGTAAGTATTTCATATAAATTAATCAAAAAGGTTTGTGCTAATTAATTGCCAATTGAAATATTTAAAACATTAAAAACAAAAATAGTGCTATTATATTATATAAATCACAAAAAAAGTCCTTCGTGTCAAATATAATGTGCAAAGTCCAACACCAAAAAAATATCAAAATCTTCAATTCAATCAATCTTCATGTGAAAAACACAAAAAACACAGTGCTCAAATCCACCACCGAATAGATTGAATAAACTCACCAGAGCAACATGCTGGCCAGATTATAAACCAGCACAAGCGCTTCTGCTCTGGGAGCAATGGTCTGCAGATGAATCTCAGTGTATATGGGACAATTCAGAATGGCATACACCTCTTCCTAAACCCGAAATCGACTCAGAAAGCAAGAGAGGAGAAAACTCATAGTGTAGCAATGTAAAAACAGAATTTATTTAAAACATCTTATCACACTTATAATAACTGGTGTCCGAGCCGACACCAACATAAACAGCGTTCACAGCAAATCAACACAGCCTCCTATGGCATCCACAGACGCCGACAGCTTGCCGAACGTTGTGACGTCACCTCCAAAAGCCTGCCAAAGTATTTCATAATGTGATGCACGTTATGACATTATCTTGCAGGGAGAAGAATTTTTTTTTAAGTCAAGTTTACTACCACTTTAAGAATGAATGGCAGCCCCATGTGTCTGTAACACCCCTGTCACACTGATTCTGATTATGAAGTCACAGGATGTCAAAGTCGGATGACATGCCGTTTTGAGGTGCGATTTGCAAGACATGTGACACAAATGTTTATGCAAATCGCATAAAAAGTAGTGCATGCAAGCCAGAACTACACTGATATGACCTCGGTTCCCAGTACAGTTCCGATTTCCAGTGCTGGCGGCGTGCCATTAGAATTAATGGCACCCACCCGCGGGTCCACATTCTTCTATGTGGGTGGTGTGGCTGCACGGATTTTTGTGCGGATCCAGCGGCACCACCCGCACATATGTGAACCTAACCTTAGGTCTAAGGAACGGAGAAAAGAAATGTTAGTTACCTGATCCCCCACCCCCCAGTATTCTCTTTCCCTACACTTTGCCCATGGACTTTCCGTTAGCACTCACATCTAGGGATGAGTTTAGGCATGATGGGATCCTAGTCCACCTGAGCGATCCTGCCAGGAAGCTGTCACTCTACTGTGCCAATCATAAGCAGCCAAGGTATGTTCTGCCCCCAGGGGCGGACTGACAATTCATGGGGCCCCTGGGCAATAGGGGATCATGGGGCCCCTGTGTGGTCGCCCACACTCAAACCACACCCAAAATAGCCTATGAAAGGTACTAGGGGCATCTCATGGGGCCCCTTACTGACCCCGGGCCCTTGGGCAGTGCCCGACTTTCTGAATGGTCAGTCCGCCCCGTCTGCCCCACATCCACATGTATACATGCCCCTTGTAGGTTTACAGCAATGAGGAATGCCTCAGCTACGTATGATTAGCATGAAACAGATGACAGCTTCCTGGCAGGATCGCTCAGGTAGGTTTAGACTAGGATCACAATATGCCTGAAGGCAGAACAAAAGAAATCTTAAAGCATGGATGGATGAATGCCCCTGCCATGCTTTTGTATTCTGACAACCAGCATTGCCAGCTGTCAAAATACCCAACTAGTGTCAGCATCTGACTAAATGCAGGCGCTGTAAGTTCAGCTGGCAATTTTCAGGCTCCATCAATATAAATCAAACAATTGGCTTTTGTCAAACAGAATGGAGCCAGTAGGGCCATACACCGCTGGATTTTCAGCCAAGCCAGCAGGCTGAAATTCATGAAAAGACATACTGGTAGGTTAATTGTCTCCTGTCTTAACTGGCTCTAGTATTGTGTGTGTGTATGTATGAATGTGAAGTAGGGACCTTAGACTGTAAGCTCCTTGAAGCGAAAGTGCTGCGTAAACTATTGTAGTGGATTGTGATAGACAGTCCACGTTTTATTAGATGATCAGTAAAATGACAATTTTATAGTCGTGCTACTATCTGCTTATTGCTCTTTAAATTCCTTACTCTCTTAAGTAAACAATCAGATATAGGTTGACAGAACAATGATGATAATTAAGATGGCGCCTTCATGCGGATTCTCACCCTAGGTGACTCATTAGGAGAAAAGTATCTTTTAATGTAAACAACCCCCATAAAAAGGGAATGAGTCTTTTTGGGGACAATGATTGGAAGATATCAGCATGGATGGAAGAACACGCAGAAACCAAGTGGACTTTTCACCCAATCAATGTATATGCTTTGCCTGCATCATAAGCCCTATAAATTATACTGTTAGTTCCTCAATAAAACAGAATTTTAGGAAGTTGACAAACTGCAACAGTGTCAGTGTCTTACTTCCACGTGCACGTAATTCTATATTAATTTGGCTCACTGGTAGATCACGGTAAATGGTCTGTAAGTGACGAGTCCAAAACACTATTGGCACTATAGAAATACCTGCTTCAAATAAAAGCACAGCCACCCAAAGCAGTGTGCTTACAGTGAAGCACTAACACACAGACCCTAGCAAAACAGCACACAGTTAACCCTTTGATTGCCCCACATGTTAACCCCTTCCTGCTCAGTGTTATTAGTACAATGTCAGTGCTTTTTATTAGCACTGATCGCTGTGTTGGTGTCACTGGGGATGTCAGTGATACCAAGTCAGTTCCCCCCCAGTGTCAGAATGCCCACCACAGTCCCACTAAGTCGTTGAGTGCTGCCATTACTAGTAAACATAAAAAAAAAATTTCCAGTATATATACTATATATATTTGTAAATGCTATAACTTTCACATAAACCAATTAATTTACACGTATTGGGATTTTTTTTTTTTAGCAAAGTCATGTAGCAGAATACATTTTGGCCTAAATTTTTGACAAAATTTGATTTTTTTTACATTTTTTTTTACTGGGCATGTTTAATAGAAAAAAATTATTTTCTTAAAATTGTCAGTTCTTTTTTTTTCTATAGCGCAAAAATATTAAAAACGCACAGGTGATCAAATACCACCGAAAGAAAGCTCAATCCTTTGGGGGAAAAAAGGACGTAAATTTAATTTGGGTGCAGCGTTGCATGACCACGCAATTGTCAGTTAAAGTAACACGTAATGCAAAAAATGGCCTGGTCAGGAAGGGGGGTAAATCCTCTGGATAGCAAGTGGTTAACAAACTTAAAGTGTATGTAAACACTAAAGCAGCAAACATCTGCTATTTCATTCCATTTGGTCTGATACTGTACATAATTGCTAAAATACCTGTTAATTCTGATGGAAATCCAGTGAGCTTGTAACCTCCTATTCTAAAATTTCATACGATGTTATCAACCAGTTTGCTTCTGTGGACTACAGAACACCTCCCTCTATGTTAGCAAGATGAAGCGAGAAGGTGGTGTTCTGTAATCCTGTAGGGTGACAAAATTGTTCCTTCAAAATCAGCATGGTGATTTTTTAAAAAAAAAATCAAAAAAAGGAGGTGATTTTTTTTATTGGGAGGATTTTTTTTAAAAATAAATCGGATTTTTTTTGAAAAAATGCTTTTTGAGGTAAAATAATTACCATCCAAGGCAGCCACCACATCCAAAAAGACTGTTTTTTAATTAAAATAAGGCTGTATATGTTTAATTTTTTAGTACATAAATTTTAAATCCACTTCACAATGTCATGCTCTTCCAGAGGTTTTTGTAAATTACAAGCAGTTTCTCAGGGATACAAGATATTAGTCAACAGATGCTTGGTACTTTTGCAGTTCATCAAAACTGAATCTCAGTGGAATCACATGCCTTTCTTCAGATGCAAAAATTGGATAACATGAACAGAGTTAAGAAAAAGACCTTAACCCTAACTTCTACAAACCTATGAATACAGAATCAACCCCTTCAGTGCTAAGTTTCATAAGAAGTTCAGTGAATAGAATAGAAACATGGAGTTTAGATTGTTTGGAGGGAATAGATCTGCACAAGAACAAAGTGAAAAAGTGCTGAGAAAGAAGGGTTGACGTCTAAGTTTCTTAAAGCAACTAATATATCTTATGTGTTTAGCCAAATTAGTTAAGTCAAAGAGGATGTTTTTTAAGCAAATAACATTCTGTAACGTTATTGTTTCAGATTCCTAAATGGGCTATTTAAATTGTTATTATTAGGGCTGATATTTTTCTTTGACAATTGCGCGGTACAACAGAAAAGTTGTCCAAATATGAATGATTAACATCTATTAAACTGGGGATAAAAAAAACTAATATGAAAAGTTATTCTAAAAATCTTCATCTACTTGCATATTAAAGTTATACCAGCAAGAATTAGTCTATGTAGAAAACTATGATCTAAATCAAGCCTTACTGACTAGTGATTTAAATCGTGATTTAAATCAATTTGATTTAAATAAACAAAAAAAGACAAATCCACCCTGAGGGTGACAAAACTGTTCCTTCATAGATGCAGCACGGTGATGAGCAATGTCACCCCAGGGCAGGAGGTGTGTCATTGGGAGGATCTCTAGGTGAAAATAAAGGGAAAAATAGGTAAAAAATTTGAAAAACCCCCCCAGCCACCACATCCAAAGACTGTTAAGCTAAATTTGCTGATTGTTTTACATGGGTTTAAATACACTTGAACTGTAAAATCAGGTGGACATGAATATATCACAAGCTCCACAGGGATATAAGATATTAGTGAACAAAGTAAGTACTGCACATCACTGCGCTAATGGAAAGGATTTGATAGATGGATAAATTGGATATGCTGTGTTCAGTGCCTGTCAAAGACCTCTTGGAGATAGGGATGTGCATCTTTACAGTTTTCCGGTAGTGGTGAAAAAAAAGCACATAAATGTCTTGTGTACATGGAGTCCATAGATTGACATTTAGGGGCAAAGGGATCAAAGGGTTAACTGTGTGCTGGGTGTGTTTTACTATGGGGCAGTGTCTGTGTATTTGACTGTAAGCACACTACTTTGGATGGCTGTGCTGTGCACGGTCATCCAAAGCAGTGTGCCCGAGCTGACAGGGAGGAGAACTGTTAGTAAACAAAACGGTTCTCCTCCCCATCGTAGACCTTTGGTAATCACTGGGCGCCGGCGATTAATCGCCGGCCGGGACCCGGTGTTTGACAGCCGCGGCTGCAATTGGCGGCACGGGTAGGGAGCACGCCCCACTACACGGAAATGCAAAAACACGTATTTATACGTGATTTTGTGCACCTGTTCCACCCTGCAGCAGTATTTCTGCTATAGGGAGGTCGTGAAGCGGTTAAAGTGTCCTACTTTTGCAGTCACATTTGGGTAAACCCCACTATAAGTTTGCTATGTGTTCCCATTCACACAACAAAGCTAAAAACCTTTTTCTGTAATATTCCCTACATTTTTAGATGTTTCTTAGCTTCATTGCTAACTACAAGGATTACTGAACAATGACAGAGTGAGCCTTGTAAGAGGGACTACAATTGGGCAGGGGATGGCGCCAAATTGTGGAAGTCTCTGCCCTGCTTCTGCTTGTAGGTACAAGTGAGCAAGTGGTGTTTACTACCACTTTAAGGGCTTGTTTATACCAGTGGCAACCCTCTGAAAAGCAATTTGTATTGGAATGCTCTTTACAGGGTGGTTGACAAGCATCTGGTTAACAAGTATTACTGTTTGGCATGTGTGCAAACCTCTTCAGCACTGTATTGGGTTAAGGGGCAGTAAAACCATGGCTAAACTCCTTATTTTTACCGGCCACAAGTGACTTGTATAAACATTAAGGCTGACCTCCTGACCTGCTACTGATTCATTCCAAGATGCATCAAATGGTTTTGTATTCTCTTTGACTTAAATGGGGAAAAAAGCAGTTCTGATGCAAACAAATACCTGTGTACACAAAGTCCTAAAAAATGCTTTTGTCATTTGCTAAATGTTCTTTATGATAGTTGTCTTAATACCAGGCTAAAGAGTGGCTGTTGCTGTAAATTACAGCGGAAGTTCCACTTTAAGCCTTTGTCCCCCGTCCCTATTAAGGATTGGCACCTTGGGGAAGCGGGTACCCGAATTTGATAGGTACCCGCTCCCACTTCCGCTGCGATCACCTCCTAGGCGATCGGATGCGGAAGTTGTTCTTCCCCCCGTAGTCTTCTGGGACACGTGACAGGTACCAGAAGACTACAGGGCCATTCAGAAAGTGCAGCGCTACTCGCACATGCGTGGTGGGCACCCACCTGTGAAGCCGCAAGCTGTCACAGCCGGGTGCCCACACTAAAGATGCCGGAACCAGGGAGAGAAGACGGCCGGTGAAACCGGCAGTGGTGAGGACACCGCTGGACCAAGGGACAGGTAAGTGGCTGTATTTTAAACATCAGGAGCTACAGTTTTTGTAGCTGCTGATTTTTTTTTTCAGCTGGAGCTCCGCTTTAATTGTATAAGTAAAATGATTATTAGGTTTA